CCAGGCTGCTGCCCACCTGAACTGCCTTCCACCTGCCCTGCACCTGCACTGAGCTGTCCCCTACCCCGAGTGGCAGAGACAAACCTTTGGCCATCTGAGTCTCCAGGGCCCCAAGAGGTGAGCTGCAGCCTGGCCAGCCCTCAGGCCTGGGTCCTCCCGTGCTCTGAGGCTGCTCAGACCCTCCCTTCTCTCCAGACATGGTGCGCTCCCTGAAGGAGGAGGCCAAGCCTGGGAGCGCCTCCCAGCTGCCCCTGCTGCACCCCAGCTGGGCCCCTGCTCCTGCGCCCTCCCGATTCCTAGTGGACACAGCTGCCCTGGCCACTTCCACAGGACTCCCCACACTCCCTCCAATAGTTGCATGTTGAGGCCCATAAAAAAACAGTCTCTGACCCCTAGGCCACCAAACAGTCCTGGCCAGCGGCTGGGGAAGGTCAGGGGTGCCCTCTACTCACCACTCCTCCCCTCCGGGCCTCCCCACAAGACTTTGGGACTGCTCCTCACAGAGGGACCACACCTCCCTGCTGGGGCCAAGGGTGCTGCTCAGCCTGCCAGGACACACTGGCTCGCCAGAGGCCTGCCCCGGGTCCCCTCACAGACAGGGCCTCGTGGCTCTGTTCAGCTCCGCCCCTCAGGGCCAGAAGCTGTGGGCCCTTCTGTGGCCTAGAAGCTGAGGTACCACATGCCCTCAGAAGTGGCATCTGTGACCTCCTGGGGTCCAGGTTCCCCGCCCAGCTGAGCTCACCTCCTCCCAGGGACAACTTCCTCAGGGCCTGGCCCAGGCCAGCACCTGGGCAGGATGCCCACCCGCAGCCGCTCCCTCCTGACCTCCCGAGCCTGACAACACAGAAGGCAAGAACTGAAGGTATCAAGTCCCTGCAGGGGGACAGGCCACCAGGTCCCTGCAGGGGACAGGCCGAGGGGCCCACACACGGGCCACCAGGTCCCTGCAGGGGACAGGCAGAGGGGCCCACAGACAGCCCATCAAGTCCCTACGGGGGGACAAGCCAAGGGGCCCACACATGGGCCACCAAGTCCCTACGGGGGGACAGGCACAGGGGCCTCACACGCAGGCCACCAAGTCCCTGTGGGGGATGGACCCAGGGGCCCCACAGATGGGCTCCAATTTCTTGGACATCAATGCTGGGCGGGCAGCCTGAACTGCAGCCTGCAGTGTGGCCCCACCAGGAGACAGGCAGCCCCACCTGGCACCTGGGGGGTGGCCCTCCAGGGCCTGCTGGAGACACAAGCCCCAGCCCGCCCAGGGCTGTGAGCAGAGACCCGCACCCACTCCCGGGGTTGGGACCGGGAATGGAAGACACACTTCTTTACGCATCTCTGCAATCTCTGGACAGACCCTCACCAGTGTGGACACCAGCCAAGGACAGGGTGCAGAGCTAGTGTCTGGAGCGAGACTCTGGGGTCACCAGGAACAGCAGAACTCAGAGGAAGAGTCACCTGCCCCTCAACCTCCCATGGAGCAGGCTGAGCTCTCGTGGGGGACAAGTGGGGCCACTGCACAGCAGTGAGTCCTGGGGGATCCTTTCATGGGGACACATCTGGTCCTCCTCCTGGAGCCCCTCCCTGGTGTGGTCGAGGGCCTAGGGTTCGGCCTGGAGAGGAGAGAGTGGCACCGCTGGGCACCTGGCTGTGCCGGCAGGCGCTGGGTTCGCCTGGCCCCCGCTGTACCCAGGAGCTGTGTTTGGGTGTGGGGGCCTGGCATCTTGGCCCAGAGCTCAGCTCAGCCTGACCAGCAGGCAATGTCCTCCGTGGCCTAGATACCGCCTGGAGGGGGAAGGGAGAGGCAGGGGCGAGGTCTGCCCCACTGTGCCCCTCTGGGGGGGCATCAGGCATTCCTGGCCACCCCTCAGCTCTGTCACTCCAGCATGGCTGCCTCCCGTGCACCCTCAGACGGCAGTCAGAGCCCAGCGGCTGCCTGGCCCTCTCTTCCTGAGTCCACGGTCAAGGGCAGGTGTGCAGGGGACAGATCCCACTGGTACCTAAGGACGGAGTGTGCCGAGGGCAGAAGCTGCATCCACAGGCCTGGGCTGCCCTTCGTTCCCAGGTCCCTGGGGAGACGCTGCGCCCACCAGCAGCAGCAGACACCCAGGCAGCAGCTCTCTCCAGCCCCACTGCCGTGTCCTCGCTCCCTGGGCAGTCAATCCGTACACATGATTCTGAGACGGGGGGAATTCCCATGCTCTGCTCCAAGAGAGCCGGCGGGCAGGAGGGCAGCTGTGGGGGAGACCGTGCACCCAGGACCCACTGCCCAAGGCTCTGCCCACCCTCCTGCCCAACTCCCCCTCTGGCCTAGCGTCCCCCTCACAGTTCCCCACATGGCCTCCTCTCCTGGAGCAGCCAGCAGGAGAGCCGGGTCCTCAGGATGGGGACCAAAGCAGACCCAGGGTGCGCCCAACAAACCTGCACCACGGCCGGCTCTCAGCCACACCCACAGGTCACCACTGGACCCCAGGCCGGCTCTCAGCCACACCCACAGGTCACCACTGTACCCCAGGCCGGCTCTCAGCCACACCCACAGGTCACCACTGGACCCCAGGCCGGCACTCAGCCACACCCACAGGTCACCACTGGACCCCAGGCCGGCTCTCAGCCACACTCACAGGTCACCCCGGTTCGTACAAGAGTCCTCACAGCAGCTCAGAGTTTTCCAATGTGAAAGAAATACCACAGGGCGGCACCTGCCCCAGGGGACACCAGTCCTGTCCCCATGTCCCCATGCCATCCCTCCCATCTCACCTGGCTTTGGGTGCCCCGGGGCTCCCCGGCGCTTCCTGGGCAGTGACCAGAAGCGGCGCATGGGCCCCCGCGAGGCCCCTTTCTCAGCCATGTTGCTGCGCTCACAAGGGTCTCTGATTCAGAGACAGAGGCCAGTCCAACCTTGGGGTCAGGGTGGCCGCGGCCAAGTGCGCCTCGCAGTCTCCACCACTTTCAGGTCTCCACAGGGGCAGCCGGAGGCCGTGCAGGCGCCAGCAGCCTGCAGGAGGCTCTCGGTGCTGAGTGGCCACGCTCCGGGAGACCTTGGGCTGTCCCAAGCCACCTCCTGGGCTCTGGACTTCCTATCCTCAGGCACCTGCGGTCCTCCTGCAGCCTGTCCTGAGGTCTCGGGCTGCCCCACACCTCGCAGAGTGGGCAGAGGGAAGCCTGGAGCTCTGGGAGAGAGCAGAGTGGACGGCCGCGCCCGCCCATCTGCCTTTGCGTTGGACGCTTCCTTCCACAGCCAGGAGCTGCTGGAAGCACAAACACCTTAGGCTCAGGAAGTCTCAAGTTCAAACAACAGCCACAGGCCAGGAGGGGCTGCCGGCTTCTTGAAATAACCAGGCAGTTCCGCCGTCTGTTCTCCCGCTGGCCGCGAGCTGGGGGAGAGGAAACGGTGGGGTGGGTTTGCTTGGCAAGCACCGCTCTGCATGGACAGCGGCTGCGCCTGACCCCAGCCAGAGGCTCTGGCCACGGATGCCGCCCTCTGACTCCCGGGGCCGCTGCGGCGTGTACTGGGCAAGCGTGGGGGTTCAGACCTGCATGCCGTTGGCTTCAGCAGTGTCACCCCGGCCACCCACAGTCCCAGGGGCTCACGTGGGCTCAGTATTACACGCTCTGGGCCACAGAGGGTCTGTACTCCGGGCAGTCTCCAAAAGGCCGCGCTCTGTCTGGGGCGCTCCTCGCCGTTCCCAGCCTCGTGGCCACAGCAGCACGTCTGCTGCCCAACAGGGCACACCTGACGGCAGTGGCCCAGCGTCCTGCTGCTGGCGTCTGGGGGACGAGGAGTGGGCAGGCTGCTCTGGACCCCTCGTCCATCTACGGTGCGGCCTTAACTACTGCTAGGAAATCCACACCAATCTCCGGCAGTAAAAGAGTGAACCGACCCTGCCTGGCCAGCCGGCGAGCCGCCAGTGACCGAGGATGGGGTGGAGGCCAAGCAGGCAGGGAACAGCCCTGTAGCACGCACCAGACCCAGCACCCCAAAACACTGTCTAGAAAGGGACACAGAGAGGACAGCGCAGGCAGCCCTGGCCCCAGCCCTGCCACCAGCCTGGCCCCCACAGACAATGGCTCCTCTGCTGCCACCCAGGGTGCCTGCTGCTCTGCCCGGCCTGCCGCCCACCGGGCTCTTCCTCTCTGCGCGGGGCCGTGCCTCCCCACCTGTGCGAGGAGACGATCGTTCTTGCTGCGGACTTCCCACCCCAGGGCGGGAGCGCGGAGCAGCCACATGCCTAGCGGACCCCTCTGCTCGTCGCAGCCCTGGGCCCACAGGCAGGGGTCGGGGTGGGCTCTGGCCAAGGCACCGTCTGGGAGGAGCTGGAGGGAGGCTGCTGCTTAGCTGGGTTCCCGGCTCAGATGGGCATCTCTGCTACTCCTCCTGAGCCCAGCCCCTGGTGCCCAGGGCCCTGGCCTGCCCCACGAGGAAGCGACCCCAGTGGGGTGCCCTGGACACAGCCACATGCTGGCCACTCCTCACCTGTGCTCCTGTCATTTCCAAAGGTGACTCTGTCCCTCGAACAGAGGTGGGGAGTTAGGGCCTGGAATTAGCCAGTAAGAACCAGGGGCGGGCCCTCCAGGGACACAGTCCTCACAGAGCCGAGGACTTGCGATTCTCAGTGAGCCTTTGGACTGGTCTGCTTACCTTTTTAAGATAATGGCCACATCATGCTGGTCAATCCTGCGGACCTCCAGAGGCCGAGCCTGACCACACCAACTTGGAAGTCCTTGAAAGTACAGAAGACAGGGCCAGATGTGGCTCTGCAGCAGGGTGCTGGGCTCCACCCGTACCCAAAGGAAGGACGAGCCATCTTCAAAGATGAAGCAGACTTGCAAGATGAAGCCCCCCTTGGACACTGGTCACATCTCTAGTGTGATGAGAGCACGGAATGAGAGCATGCTCTGCCCTCAGGGACTCGGGAAGCAGGACCATGCGGCCTGCCAGAGTGCCCAGGCTGTGCTGGGCTTCGCACTGGACCCAGCGACCCAGCAGAGTTGATAAAGGCCCATGCAAAAACCAGGGGCCCCTGCCCAAGTCCGACAGCCGGGCCAGCGACCTCCGTCAGCCTCAGGACCATGAGCACCTTTGTGTCCTCCACTTCAGACCTTGAGCATCTCCACAGGGTTCCATGCCCCTGGCTTTGTGCGATTTGGGGATTTGCATGGGAACAAAGGATTCTCTGGGGAGAGAGAAGGCACAGAAGGCCCTGTGGCCTGGCAACTCTGCAGTGTGGTGACCCCCAGTGGACGGCAGAACTGGGTCTGAACCCTGGGTCACGGCCCCAGAGCCCGCGAGGCCAGTCTCTCTTTCAGACAAAGCAACTCTGCCATGCGCTCCGAGGACCCCAGGAGGCAGGAAGCTGTGCCTGTGCCTCACGGTGCCCACGGGACTCCACCAGGACCCACCGGGCTGCGAGCTGGGGGTACCAGGCGACAGCAGCCAGCTCAGAAACGGCTTGAAAGATGTGACATTTTTTCTCCAAGCCCCGGTTATAAGATGAATGTGACCAGAGGCCTTCTGAGTGAAGAGAAGTGCGAGAATACTGCCTAGGGTCCTGGGGTCTGCGAGCCTCCAAGGCCACCAACCTCCGCCTCCACAGAGCTGCTCAGGTGCCAAGAGTGCCTCAGACATGGAGCCCGGGCCACACGCGCACCCAAGTGTGGGGAGGCAGGAGAACGAGCAGGCGCAGCAGCAGCCTAACTGTGTCACTGAGCTGCAGAGGCTGCGGGCTCAGTCACCAGTCAGGGGACAGGAACTTCTGCAGGACCCTGGCCCATGGAAACCTTGTCGGGTTCGGCTCCTCCACCGTGAGGAGCTCCAGCCACGTCTGCTCCATTCTCAGAGTAAGGCAGCTCTCCCTAGTCCTGCTTCCTTTACCTTTACTAGTCTGGGGTGGACCTTCTGAGGTGGAGCCGACCACGGAGGGGCAGCAGCCCCCGGCACCTTGCCCACTAGAGGGCACGTCTCCAGAAGCCCAGCCTCGGGCCTTAGAGCCGGGTCCACTGCACACGGAAAACTCAGAGAGGTCTCTAGAGCCTGGCACTGCTGGTGCCCGCCCCTGCCCTCTGAGGCAGGAGGGCCTCGGCACACCCCCAGCACCCGCCACCCATGCCCCTGGGAAGACACCCCCCTCGTCCACTCAGACGTCCAAGCCCTGCTGTTGACGGCCGTGTCCTGGCTCAGTACCCTGGAGGCCAGAGGACGCTGCACCCCCTGCCGGGCTCGGATGCTCAGGTATGGCAGCCCCTCGTCCTTCCACCCAAGCCGGGCGAACAGACTCCACTGCTTTAGAGCAAGAGGAAAGCCGTCTGCCCGAGGCCTCTCTCCTCCCAGCTGGACGTCCGTGGTCTCCACCAGGTAAGTCCCACTGTGGGCCAGTCAGCACTGCACCACAACCTGCAGGACCGACGTCCACCAGCGACACACAGGGCACAGGCGCTGGGTCCGTGTGGCCAGGCGCCCAGCCTCCAGGGCCCGTGGGACCACAGTCCAGGGGGACCCTGCTCTCTGGGGTCCAGGCGCCCGGTCCTGTACCCGTCCCAGCTCCATGCCAGGGCCGTGGGTCCCTTTCATCGGTGACGGGGTCTTGTCTACTTTTCAAAGCGACTTCCCCTTTCCCTTCTCTGAAATGCACAGACTTTCAGCTTTGACTTGGGTCCTCAGACGCCGCGGGGGGTTCCACAGAAGCTCGTCTGCCTCCAGCGAGGAGGACGGGAAGCTGGCCCAAGTGCGGTCAGGCGGCCAGGTACCGACACACGCCCATGCGCAGACACCGCGACCAGCAGACGGCCACTTCACGGGGATGACGGAGGGAGGGCAGAGCTCACAGACCTCGCTGACTCCTCAGGAAACAGCCCCTGGTGGCCTGCGTCCAGCGCCCGCCCCACGCGCGGATCTACTCCCCGCAGCAACCCAGGAAAGTCGCGACCTCCACAGCTCAGGCTGCAGCAAGATCACCCTTCACAGTTCCTGGTCCTGGGTCACTAATCACGAGAAACCACGCTGGTGGCCCTTCTGGGCCCTCGGGGCAGGCGTCCAGGGTTGGGAAGACTAATCCCGCTGACTCTGGGGAGAGGCCACTCACACTGAGCATCCCAATGGCAGACAGCTGGAGAGCAGGGAGGAAGGCCGACACCCTGCACTTCCCGAAGCTCTGCCCTGGGCACCGGGCACACCCCAGCAGCAGTGGGGAGGAGCACGGCCCCTGCCTCCCCGCGGTGAGGGCCGATGGGAGGAGTGACCTCAGACCAGGGCTGTCACCCAGGCTCAGCTCTGTTGGACAGCTGACGTGGGGGACCCCACACAGCAGGATGCACCCCGGCTCTCAGGCTCCACCGCAGCGCACCCAAGTCCTCTGCGGGTTAGGCCCAGGGTCCAGTGCCAGTCTCAGCCTCCTCACTAACTGGACTCATGGATTTGGGAACCCTTAGCCCCCGCGATCCCTCCTGGACTTCACATGCTACCTCTGACCCCAAGATAACTGGGGAGTCAGAGCATGTCTGCTTCCCTGGGGGGTCTGCCTGGGAGCCCGAGGCGGGCACCCTGAAAGGTGGGTGAGTGCATGACACACCCCCAGCAGCTGTGGGGCTCTGGCCCTCTCCAGCCTGGCCCTCCATGCAGACAGCCGGAGCTCGGCACATGCTCCCAGGTGCAGCCCTCACCGGCCACTGCAGGAGTCCGCCTCTGCAGAGCTGCCCCAGGGTGCTGCAGCTGCGTCCACTGCCTGGACGGGACGGAGTGGAGAGGCACACTGATGTAGTGTGGGCGGGGTCCTCCAGGCCTCTCTGGCTGAGTGGAGGCCACTGTGGACGCAGGCCCCCACAGGCCCAGAACACAGAGCAGAGTCGCATCGTGGTCAACAGTGGAGGGCCAGGCCTTTCCCAGGGTGGCTGGGCCTCCTGAGAGCATGTGGGACTCAGGCGCCCAGCCAGTGGAGAGGTTGGCACCACCAGCAGAGCGTGGGCATCCGTCAGGACACCTGAGAGCAGTGAGTGTCACGGCAGGGCCCAGAGGCAGAGGCGTGGCAGGAGCCCCATCACGGGAGGGAGGAGAGCAGCCCCAGCCCCGTGAGTGCAAGAGGAGGAGCCCTCGGAACAGTAGAGGATGAGACCCGACGTGGACCAGT